GGAAGGAAGGAAAGAAGGAAGGAAGGGACAATGGGAGGGAGAGAGCGAGGGAAGGAAAGTGCCCATGCCTGTCCAATCCCTCTCCAGTAGAGACCCATGGATCCCCCCACATCCCCACCCGCACCCCCCACAGGCACCCCACAACCTGAGTGATGAGCTGGCCATGCTCCCCTGGCCATTGACTTCACTTGTCAAAAAGTTGCAAAATGTGATCACATGACCCTGGGACACTGTGACCGTCATAAGTATGTGTCAGTTGCTAGGCATCCAAATGTAAATTACATGACCCTGGGGATGCTGCAACAGTCATAAGTGTGAAAAATGGTCATAAGTCACTTTTTTCTGGAGAGGAATTTCAAGCAGCTGAACAATTCAAGAAATATTGACAGATACATTTGCACATATAAATAATATCCACCATACCCATTTGGGTCAAAGATGGCAATTGTAATTCCTATATATAAAAAAGGGACTAAAAATGACCCTAGCAATTCCAGATCCATTTCTCTAACAGATATTGTGACTACACTATATGCAAATGTCCACTTGAAAAGAATTGATAGTAGGTGGATGAAAAGTGCATTCCTTGTAGAAGAACCAGCAGATTTGATCCACTCTTGACAATTCTTTTGTCTTGAACCATCTAACTATAAAAATATCAGTCAGAGGAAATAATGGTTTGCTGCCTTTGTGCATTTGACACAGTAAGCAAAGAAATTTTATGGAAGAAATTGACCGCCCTTCAAATGGAGCTCAGGATGTTGACCCTGCTCAAAGCCCTTTCTACAAGCACTGACAGTGAGAACAATTAATGAGTAGAACGGCTTGCCTCATGAAGTTGTGGGTGCTCCATTAATGGAGATTTTCAAAAAAAGGCTGGACATTTCTTTTGTCTGGATTGGTATAGGATCTCTTGCTATGGGCAGGGGGTTGGACTAGAAAACCTCCATGGTCCCTTCCATCCCATTTTTGTTCATTTGCTTGAGAGTGTGTTTGGGGCTCAATGGAGCCATGAGAAGTAGGATTGATATGTACCAAAAGGTAAGACAAACATGTTGCCAATATGACATTTGGATTGCATGTGCTGTTAAGGGGACTTGGCTCCTATTCTCATAATAATTATCTGATTATGGATGAGTCAAAGTCAAAAGTTATGGTCTTTGGGAAATGACAGCATTGCCACATAGGGCTAATCAATGAGAAGGCAAGTTCACACCTTTCCTTACCTGGGGGAACTTTTCTCTGTGAATGGATCTGGGCTCCCTCAACATCAAAGGAGGAAGCCTTTAGAAGGCACAACTCAATGCACTGTTAATTTTTTTAAAAAAATCATAGGTATGCGGCTTCCTTAGACTGAATTATTAAATATAATATACCAACGTTACGATTATGCACATATTGAGCTGAACTTTTGAATTTAATTTATATCACTACTAGAACAAATCTGAGAAGTATCTTGAGGGGGGATAAAAGGACTTCAGCTGCTGCCCTCAGAGCAGAATTGGGAATTTATCCAATTTATAAAATTGGGGCATATAATGTAATAAAAGTATTGGTAGGGAAACTGATAAAAGTCCCCAAACGCTATTAGAACAAACAAATTTCATTTAAAACATTCTTGATTTTATATTAGGAGCTGTCATCTCCCTGTCTTTTTTGCCACTCGAGAAAAACCTAAAAAAATGCTGCACAAAGAGTCCAAGATGGTCAAAATAGAGAAAAGTAGTGCCATCTTCAGTAAGGCTGGCACACTGAAAGGCATCAGTTGCTACAAATGTACCTTCCAAGTATTGAGTCAAATCTTCCAAACTACTTACAATGAATATACTGTACTTGTATTTGTGGAGCTCCAGAAACAGAAGATGTAATACATCTATTATTTTAATGACAATTATTTAAGAAAGAAGGAGATCAATATCTTGGATTGCACTTTAGAGAAACAATCTATTAGGATCCTAATATTAAAAAAATCTATTTCCTCTGTGATCAGAATTCAAAAATTATATATAATAAAGCCCTTTTTGGAAGGAAATTATGGTCTGATAGTAATAAATTTTGGGGTTATAAAGAAATACTATTTTCATTCTTTATGCTTATTCTATTGTACTTATTTTTCTAAATTCTAATTTTACATGCAATCTTGTTAATGTTTTGTATTTTATATTCTGTATCTTGATATAGCCTAATGACTAATCAACAGTAATATGTGCATGAGAAAAATATTAGATTTATTAAAAGCTAAAAATTGGGACTTGGTAGGACCCCAAGTATAACACAAAATTGTTTTTTTCAGGTTAGTGAGAGAATTGCTTCAGAGGTTCTGAGTGATAAAAGTCAATTCCCTTTTTTCCATCCGATGCTCCCCAAAGAAGGGATCCAGTACCCAGGAATTGTCCAAATTTTCCTCCATTTTGGATGGACCCTGATTGGTCTCTTTGCTACAGACACAGAGAAGGGAGAGAATTTCATGAGGACTTTTACTCCTATGCTTGTCAAGAATAGAATTTGTGTTGTTATATCACAACTATTCTCAACGACTGGACGCACAGCATTCCTCAGGGATGCCCTCTCTAAGTGGAGACAAGTCAACGTCTTTGTTCACTTCATGGAATTTGATTCCCTTTGGGACAGAATTCTTCCCTTCCATTCAGCACTTAAAGATTTGCCAGAACCCATTGAAGGGAAGGTCTGGATCATGACAGTGCTTGGAGTATTTTCATTGAAAAAGAATAGGCATCTCAAGCACATCCATAGTATTTGGAGTTTTACCCTTCAGTATAAAAAGAGTTGGAAAAACGATAATGCCTTTAAAACAGATTTCTTTGTGGAGCCTAAATTTCAAGCTGAGTATTTTCACTGTACTGTTTCAAAACACATCTTTTCTGTCAAAGGCCAGAGAAGATGCACCCAGAAAGCACCAGTGGAGATCCGAAAGAAAAAGAATAGGATGCAGGTCACAAATGACGGTGCTACCTATAGCATCATTAAGATTCTGGCCCACGCCTTAAGTGCTGCATCCAAACCTCAGAGGAGAAGGAAGAAGGGTGAAGAGAGGTTGGGGACTCTGAGGCTTCAGCCATGGAAGGTATGGGGTCCCAACAAGGATCCATCAAACTAAATTCCTTTTTAGGGTCTTTTGTGCTCTCTGGACTTGGTTGTTTAAGATCTTAAGCTTCTGCAAAACATCTCTTACTTATCAGAAGAGTGCTGCATCCTGCATTCAGCAACCAAGACCTTTTATATATTCAGAAAAAAGTTCCCAGACTTTTTCAGATTTGAAGCTCCAGTAAACTAGGACAAGAAACAATGGCTGGAAAATGATCAAAGAGAGAAGCAACCTGGAATTAAGGAGAAACTTCCTAACAGTGAGGACAATTAACCAGTGGAACAGCTTGCCTTCAGAAATTGTGGGTGCTCCATTACTGGAGATTTTAAAGAAGAGACTAGACAGTCACTTGTCTGAGATGGTATAGGTTCTTCTGCTTGAGCAGGGGGCTGGACTAGAAGACCTCCAAGGTCCCTTCCAGTTCTATTCTATTCTATTCTATTCTATTCTATTCTATTCTATTCTATTCTATTCTATTCCTATTCCTATTCCTATTCCTATTCCTATTCCTATTCTATTCTATTCTATTCTATTCCATTCCATTCCATTCCATTCTATTCTATTCTATTCTATTCTATTCTATTCTATTCTATTCTATTCTATTCTATTCTATTCTATTCTATTCTATTCTATTCCAACATGGCTTGTCTGCTTGATGTCTTTCCTCAAGATTTAAAGCAGTTCTTTTGATCTGTTCCTCCCCTTCTTTGTCCTTGATTAAAATTTTGTGCAGTGTCTTCTCCCAGTGTGGTGCCTGCAAGAAGACCTGGTATCATCCTGACAGGGATCTACAGGGATCTGAGATAAGCTGGAAATTTTTAAAGGAGACCAAAATAACTTTCTCCAAGTGTTGTTATATTTTTTCCATCACAAAATCATGATTTATGTACTTCCTTTATTAATGAAAATATAGAAGAAACAATGACCAAGGTCTAATTGTTTTTCGTAACTCCCCAATTTTATCAGTAATATTAATATTTATTTGAGTACAATTTTTGAGACAGTTGTATCCATTTAATTATCTCATACCATCCAACACTCAATTGACTAGATCCCCATTCATCACATTATGAAGCATCTTGTTAATTCTTTCCTCAAAATAAGTTATACCACCAGCATTCACACAATCTGTTAAGGAAGTTTAACAATATGTGTGAATGAGTTCAGAGGACCAGAGAAAGAGATGCAGAGAAGGATCAGAGAAGATGGTTTGGGGGGGGGGGGCAACCCACAGCTGCGTAACAGGCAGAGAAAGAAACTCAGAAAAAGTCCTCCCTACATTTTTTTACTGTCAAAAGAGATGGTGAAAGATTTGTAATTCCACACTGCAAGATTTTGTTAATATAGCTTTACAATAAAGCAGAATTACTTTGTCTGGTCATTTTTCCTATCTCCTCTACCTGAATGAAGATTAGCCTTGCAACTTTCTTCTTAACAAATCCTTGCTTTCTGGTAATCACCCTATTGTTTTTAAAGAGTTCATGAATACTCTCGTTATTTGTGTATTTTGTTTACTTGGTTGGTGACCTTTACTAGATTGTTATATATGATTGACCATTTTTGTCAATTACATTTTGTCAATATACATTGTATCAGTATACTACATGATTTAGAAATACCGGTATTGCTGAATCTTTGTACTTCAATTTTGAAGGTAATGGTAACATTTGTTCTCCCAACTCATAATATTTGCAAGTTAAACAACCATAGAAGAAAGATTCAAATGTAAAAAGTTATAAGAAATAAGAAACCAAGATTTCTGCTTTTAAATTCCTGGATGTTTCCATTCTAGTTCCATCCATTTCTAAAGAAGAGGGAATTGTACAATCTTTCCCTGATTAAACTGTACTTGGAGCAAAATGGAGACATAGCAGCAGATCTGGATATTACTAGTATGGTAGTTCTCCCCAAGGAGGATCCTATCAAGAAGCAATTGGGGGTTTTTGAAAGACAGAGACTTACAATCAACCAAGATGGCTTGTCACAGCTAAAGTTGCTCAACAAGGTGGGGAAAATATTGGTGTCTTTTCTCTTTTTCCCAAAGCCGTTTCAAGTGGGCTAAACCCAGTCAAAAAAGTGGGTAACCTTCACTGAGAATTGAATGTGTGGAGTAAAACCTCTATAATTTTCTTAGGCAGATAAGCATGCTTCAGTTCTATTGACCAGGGTTTCCCTACTGATGCTGTCATGCTGAAACCTGTTGTCAGCTGATCCAAAATGAAATATGGGGTGATTATTATTTAGGACAGAAATCATTGCCATTTAGTGTCCCTTGGTAGTTTAGTATCACTATAAAACTGGTGAGACAGGGCCTCTTATGCTTGAGATTTTGGTGTTAATAGCTTCAGGTTCACTAGTTTTTTGTCTTCAAATATCAAAGGTGAAGGCAATTCTGTTGACTAGTCCCTGAGTTCAGATTTGGAGTGAATCCAATGAAATGGAATCAAGATTGGATGGAGGTCCTGTTGGTCCAATTGTTATATAAGCTTCATCTTGCCTTTTTTGGAGTCAGGGGTCTCCCAAATTGGAGGCTCATAGTCTGGGATGTTTCTAATCAGCTGAGAACATGCTTATACCTGCCTCTCTTTGGGCATTGGATAGTAAGAGTGCACTTCATCTGAAAATCCCTTGAATGCAACTGTTTATCTTGATTGTTAGGTGCCTTAGTACACACTGAGAAGCTACAAATCAAATTAATAATAAATATGGTGTGTATTTACCTGTCACATTGTGTCACCTAATTGTATTCTTTCAACAGAAATGACCTTGTATTGGATACCTTGTGTTGAATATCCATTTCCAACACGGGGCTTACACTCATGACCCATGTACTACACCAAAACATGCCTGACTCACCCTTTTTAAAGGACACGTTCTCATGACCTCACCTCCATCTCACTTCACTATAGTTTTAGAAACTAGTCAGCCAGTTTTAGTTTTTAGTTCACCAGCATGGCAGCCATATAAACTAAACAAATATATATATGAATGAAGAATATCTTTAAGGTTGACAGCCCTTATTTGTAAGAAAATTTCCCATTTTATCTTAACTGGGAGATAATTTTGGACTCCTTTCAAAGGGAAGCAGCTTTGCAATGTTTTATGTACTCCAGAAGAAACCTTTCCAGATCCTACTGGTCAAAAGTTTCTTTCTTCATCACAGTTTTATTCTATTTCAATAAATCCAATGAAATGAAAATTTAATAAATCTTTTATAGTAAAGTTGACTCTAAAATTTAGTATTTTAGATATTATATTTTAAATAAAGCATGCATGAAGAATGAAGGAATGCATGTTAATTCCACTATGAGGAGGGAAACACTGGTTATCACTTATTGGTTAAACCTTTTCTCAATTTCATCCCTCCAGACTTTGTTAAGTAGACAGCTACAGTACTTTATTGTAATCTGATAAGTCAGAAGAAAAAGGAAGGAACTGAATGAAGAATCTTCCTGCAATTGTTTCTCCTGCCACCATTTGGAAGGAGTCAGAGATTTCATATTTGCCTACATGAAGCCCAGAGACGACTTGGGTGATGTTCATGTCTACCTCCATCTTACATGGATAGTGAGTCCTGACATATTTTCTTTGACATTTTTTCTTTTTCTATTTAGTCTTTGCCTCAGTCTAAATGTGTGGAAAAATGCCATCTTGGATTTGTCAAGCAGGCTCGAGAAGGAGAGCCAGTTTGCTGCTATGACTGCATTCCTTGTCCAGAGGGGACCATCTCCACTCAGGAAGGTGAATGAGACCATACGGAAACTTTGATCAATATGCATGTTAAAGACACATGTAAATTTGATTGTTTAGTTTTTAATTTTCATGGTGTCCAATTTCTTCCATAATGGAAAGAATAAAAAAAATATCTTGAAGGATGAGGTAGAAAGAAGGATGTTGTGGATTGCATGGGAAATCTCTTTCATTTCCCAGTTTGGATGTTTCCATCCATATTTATCTTTATTAGAAATATCAGAATTCTTTGTAACTTGAGGAATGATTTTAGATCAATGGGTTTTGTTTACCTAGAGTAGACCAACTTTACATTACAGGCTGATAGATACATCAATCAATCATTCATTTAATCAGTTAATCTTTAGTAAGATCATATATCCTTATAAGCTGCAATATCTAATTGGGAGGAAAAATAAAGGGAGAGATATTGGGCTAAAGGAACAGTGAAAACCAAACAGAGGATTCAGGATTCATCTGGAATTTACAAATAGTCTAGAATGCAAAGGCATGCACAGTGTTGAATTTCCATGTGTTCTTCCATAGGACACCCCTACTGTGCAGGCTCCACAGAATCCCAGTTTCTTTCCAGGTGCAATTAAATTCAACTTTCAAACCCTCCTTAAGACAAAACCAGGGTATCTGCAGGGCTTCCTCTCCTTGAGGATATCTGCTTCTCCCACCAGAGCATATAATATTTGGCATGCAAATGATCTGTTCCCTTAAAGGATTCCCACTTTATGGATTATCAGAAGCCTGCCTTTTCTGGTGCAGTTCCTGCCTTATTGGACCCACTCCCCCTTGAAATTGAATAGGCCCCCATCCTATTAAACCTCTGGAGGATTGCTACTTCTCTCAATCATTTGGGATAAGGTAAGGTCAGTGCAGGATAAGAATCTGGTGGATTACCTCAGAGAAGGGAGGTTGCAGCACCAGACAGATTTTCTTTTAAATTTATGTTGTTGTTCTTTTAATAGTTGTATGTATTGGGGATTTTTTTTGCTGTTGTAATGTAAGTATATTCCATTTACTGAGACTTTTCTGTCTCTCTGTATCACATCTTATCCAAAGTTTTTATTGAAATTTGAAAGACTATAAAAGAAATATTACTTTCTTTTTCAGATACCACAAAATGCACCAAGTGCCCAGATGATCAATATCCAACCGAGAACCGAATCCAGTGTATCCGCAAAAGAATAACCTTCCTGTCCTATGAAGAACATCTCAGCATCATCCTCATCTCCTTTGCTCTACTCTTGTTCCTAATCACAGGCTTTGTTTTATTCATATTCATTAAATACCTTGAAACTCCTATTGTCAAAGCCAACAACCGGGACCTCTCCTACATCCTCCTGGTCTCCCTTCTGCTTTGCTTCTTATCTTCCTTGTTCTTCATTGGCCAACCAAGGAAAGCCACCTGCCTTCTCCGACAAACAGTGTTCAGCATTGTCTTCTCAGTAGCCGTGTCATCTGTGTTGGCTAAAACAATCACAGTAGTGCTTGCATTCCTCGCCTCAAGACCAGGCAATAAAGTGAAGAGATGGTTGGGGAAGAACTTGGCCAACTCCATCATCCTTTCTTGTTCTGCTGTCCAAATTCTCATCTGTGCCATGTGGTTGGGAGTTTCTCCCCCATTTCCTGACTCTGATCTGCACTCCCAGCCTGAAGAGATTATCCTTCAATGCAGTGAAGGCTCTGTCATCATGTTTTATGTTGTTCTTGGCTACATGGCCTTCCTTGCTGCAACTTGCTTCACTGTGGCTTTCCTGGCCAGGAACCTGCCTGGAGCTTTCAATGAAGCCAAGCTGATCACCTTCAGCATGCTGGTCTTCTGCAGTGTCTGGATTTCCTTCCTCCCCACCTACCTGAGCACTAAAGGAAAATACATGGTGGCTGTGCAGGTCTTCTCCATCTTGGCCTCTGGTGCTGGACTATTGAGCTGCATCTTCTTCCCCAAGTGCTACATTATCATCCTGAGACCAGATCTAAACACTAAGGAACATCTAATGGCCAAAGCAGGGGGATGATTGTGAAATTGTTTCTTAGGTTGGTAACTTCTAATTATCCATTATTATTGGTTATATATTCTTCCTTTGGATTTGCTTGACAACTTATGTTTATTAAAACTGAAGGAAAGAAATATGTGAAGTTTGTTAAATAAGAATTCAAGATAATCATCAAATACAGTAATAATAAATAAATAAATAAGTAAACAAACAAATGAATAAATATTATGTTTTTTAAACTATTGGTTTTCCTCCTTTTCCTCAGCACATATGTCAACCAATATTTGGCTTAAGTAACTCTTCAAGACAAGAGATATATGAGTCAATTCCTGGGCTTTATAGTGGTGTAAGCTTGGCAGGTATCTTCAAAGATAATTAGTGAGGTCTGAATCTCATTTCTTTCATGATTCTTTATGAATTGGTATTTCCATTCCCCCAAGTTATGGGTTCTACTGGGAAGAAGAGAGTTAGTGAAGATGACATGGTTTTGCAACTTCAACATCTCTCACTGGTTTTGGTGCTCCTTCTCTTTCTCCTGAGGTGCTCTTTTTCAGCAATCTCCCTTCATTTCAACTCCAGATCAACTCCCATCTTCTTCATGGCTTCCTAGCTCATAGCCTCCAGTTCCAGCATCTCTGTGCTAAAGTGCTGAACAGACTTCTGACTTCTGGTGAGCTGTTGCCAATAGCAGACATTTATTTATTGCCTGTTACTTCCCGACAGTTTTGGCATATCAATATTCAAGTCAATGTGACTGATGTAAATTGAAGACAAAATGTATCGTGGTCTTGTTTGGGGAGTCAGTAGCTCAACCAAACTAGGGCAGGTACAAGCAGGCCATGGGTCAACTCCCAGATTAAATGAATATGAACTTTACTAAAGGTGTCAAAAGAAAATAAGGTCATAAAGAGAACACATGGATAAAAAGGATTTTAAAACCCCCTAAATCCTAAGACAATTCTAGACAAAGCAAAACAACTCACTTTCCATATTTCCCAGCTTCATCCCCTCATTTAGGATTCCAAAGTCTCTCAAAAGATCCCCAAAGTCTTTCCACCTTGTTTTCTATTGGCTTTCTGGTAAGTTGACTCTTATGGAGCCATAAGATTGGCTTGATCTTTAAAGGATCAGTTTCTCCTCCCTACCCCACTCCTTGCTTTCTCCATATCCCTCACCTTCCCTTCTTCTCTCTCTCTCTCCCTCAATCCTCCCATCTATATTTTCATCAGAATCATCTGCTAGCATCCAGGCTGGGAGTGCAGGACAGAGTCAGGAAATGGGGGAGAAATTCCCAGCCACATGGAACAGATGAGAATTCGAACAGCTGAACCAGAAAGGATGATGGAGTTGGCCAAGCTCTTTCCAAACCATCTTCTCACTTTATTGCCTGGTTTTGAGGCTAGGAATGCCAGCACTACTGTGATTGTTTTGGCCAACACAGATGACACGGCTACTGAGAAGACAATGCTGAACAGTGTTCACTGTTCACTTGAATACCATTGGCATTGGCAAATTCACCATTAGTCAATTGCAAAAGACGGCCTTACTAGGTACTGCTTCCATCCTGCAACAATATCTGTAATACCATCAAACATCCACATCTGCCTATCCCAGGTCCTTGATAAGGACTCGATAGGTAGACAAAAATGCCAAATCCAGTCTGAACATCTGGCTGACTGTGCGATGATCAACAATGATGACGACAACAACAACAACAACAACAACAACAACAACAACAACAACAATAATAATAATAATAATAATAATAATAATAATAATAATAATAATAATAATAAATAGAGAAAGTCACAGAAAATGATAAAATTAAACTGCTCTGGGACTTCAGAATCCAAACAGGCAAGCACCTGCAACATAACAACCCGGACTTAACAACTGTCGATAAGAAAGACAAAAAAGTCTGGATAGTGGATGTGGCAGTGCCTGGAGACAGCAGAATAATAGTAATAGTAATAGTAATAGTAATAGTAATAGTAATAGTAATAGTAATAGTAATAGTAATAGTAATAGTAATAGTAATAGTAATAGTAATAATAATAATAATAATAATAATAATAATAATAATAATAATAATAATAATAATAATAAAGTTGGAAGGCACCTTGGAGGTCATCTAGTCCAACCCCCTGCTCAGGCAGGAAACGCTATACCATTTCAGACACTGTGTTGGCTTTTTTGGCAGCTGCAGCACATGGCTGGCTCATATTTAAGTGATTGTCCACTAGGACTCTGAGATCCCTCTCACAGTTACTACTATGAGTAAGGTAACCCCTATACTATACCTGTACATTTGGTTTTTCTTGCTTAAATGTAGAACCTTGCTTTTTTCCCCATTGAATTTCATTTTTGTTGTGTCCTGAGCCTGCAAAAGCAGGCTCGGGATGTTGCAAGAGTCCCGGGCATTTGGAAAAGCCGGCCTTACGCGCATGCGCAAGGTGGGAAAAGACCGCCTCGTGATTGGTTGAAGTTGCCCGGGGATCAGAAGGTATAAATAGAGGCCTGCGTGCCTCTGCTCGGGTTGTTCATAGATTGGAAGCAGAGAATAAAGACTTGTTAGAAATGCTTCATCTCAAGCGCCATTATTCTCCGGACTTAACACTGGCGATGAAGGTGGGATTCAGTCTATACAGCTAAGAAAGCTTGAAGACTCACCCAAAGAAGTCCGGAAGAGAAGACGGCGTGGAAGTCAGCGTTATCCTGCCAGTACGAAATCGCTGGAGGGTGCGTGCGGCTGAAGAAGAAGACCTTGATCCTCGATCATGGCGAAAGTCGGGCGTTTAGCGGAATTCGACGTCTCTCACCCCGAGAGGTGGGAATCTTATGTTGCAAGAGTCGAGACGTATTTCCGCATAAACCAGATAAGGGAGGAAGGCTTAAAGGCTGCCACATTGTTGTGCGTTTGTGGGCAAGATGCCTTTGAGATCGCCGAGAGCCTAATCGCCCCGGACTCGCTGGAAACGGTATCATACTCCAACTTGAAGAAAGTCTTAAAGGAACATTTCCAGCCCAAGCAGTCTGTCATAGCTTGGAGGCACACATTTCAACAGAGAGATCAGTGAGTTGGGGAATCAGCAAAAGAATTCGTTGCGGCCTTGAGAAGAGCAGCTAAACCGTGTGATTTCAAGAACTTAGAGGAAAGACTGCGTGATCGTTTTGTGTGTGGACTGAGGAACACAGACATACAGCAGAGGCTGTTCGCCAGGGAAGATGTCTCCTTCCAAGATGCTCTGCGAGAGGTTTTGGCAGAAGAAGCTGCAGGCGGGGCGGTCAAGAACATGCGGCCTAAGCGAAGCGCTCCAGAGACCGCCACTATCCACAAGGAAGACATGTGCAAGGATTCGGAAGAAGATCCTGAAGAAGAGGTGGACAAGCTTTACCAAGCAGCTGGGAGGAGGTCCAAAGATTGTCAGGACAAGGGCCCAGCTGAGCTTCGTTGCCTCGGATGCGGTGGATGCCACAAGCGAGCGGAATGTCGGTTCCATTCCGCCATTTGTCGAGCGTGCGGAAAGAAAGGCCACATCGCTGCTGTCTGCCTGGGTCGACAGAAGGTACAACCGAAGGAAGAATTGAGTCTGAAAGGTACCAGGGTGCCCAGTCAAAACAGGGTGGGGTTCTGTGCAACACGCCGGAACATTTTAAGAATAGGCACACACAAACCCCTTAAAAAGAAACTATCCCTTAAAGTGAAATTGCAGGGAGTTCCATTGTCGATGGAACTTGACACGGGGTCTGCCCTATCCATAATTTCCCTCAATACATTTCACAAAATCTGCAGCAGCAGTGGACAGCGAGTTTCGTTAAGGCCCTCTAATGTGATCCTTACGGATTTCCAAAATTCTAAAGTGTGCATTAAGGGGGAGGCCACCCTTAATGTACAGTACAAGAATTTTGCAGGCCCCCTAGACGTGTTGGTTGTGGGGGGTGAGCGAACGAGTCTCATTGGACTCGATTGGTTTGAGGCCTTGGGAATTCAAGTAACAGGGCTACATAAATTGCAAACAGAGACCCTTGCAGATTTATGCAAGGAGTTTGCAGATGTGTTCAGTTCTAAACTAGGGTCCTACACAGGACCTCCAGTTTCACTAAAGCTAGATCCAACGGTACAGCCCATCAGGGTTAAACCTAGGAGAGTACCATTTGCTCTGAAGAGTAAGATTGACGCTGAACTGGACAAGTTGCTCCAGCAAGGCATTCTAGAGCCTGTAGATTCCAGCCCATGGGAAACCCCCATTGTAATGCCTTTAAAGGCAAATGGGGACATCTGGATTTGTGCTGACTACAAGTGCACACTAAACAAGGCCCTACAGCAACATGCTTATCCTGTGCCTGTAGTGAGACACATTCTGGCTTCTCCCAAGGAGGGAAAATTTTTTGCTAAGCTTGATTTGGCTCAAGCATATCAACAGCTGCCTGTTGATGATGCAGCAGCTGAGGCCCAAACTATTGTCACCCACCATGGGGCTTTCAAAGTGAAGAGGCTACAGTTTGGGGTGAATGTCGCTCCTGGCATTTTTCAGAATGTAATGGAAAACACCCTGAGGGGTATTCCTGGCGTGTGTCCTTATTTTGATGACGTTCTCATCGCAGGTGACTCTCCACAAATGCTGGCTGAGAGGTTAAGGGCTGTTTTGCTTCGTTTCCGAAGAGCAGGTCTTAAATT